AAATAAATGTTTAGCCTACTTATCGTATGAAACTGATACATTGAGTAACGTGCGTAGGATTTTGTGCCAATATAACGTCGTATTTTAAATTTTACACATCGGAACATCCATTAATATTCGATTGATATAATTCTCCATAATTACCATGTAATATTAGAAATTTTAATATAAAAATTCGGTAGCGAAAATACCCAAATTGATTGACCCAGTTTGACTGATAAATGGCTTAAAACAGGTCAGCGGGTGTGGGAACGGAACGTGCAATCGCTCATAAATCATGATCTATCCAAACAAAAAATAATTTTCAAGATTAGTATTCTAACCTATTTTTTTAAAACATTCTGAATGATATTTAGAAGCTAAATATATATATCGGAAATATCGGTCCAAACTTAGCCGATACCGATACACTTCGGATACCGAAAAATTGGCAGATATCGCCGATACCGGTACATCGCTACACCTCTAGTGTGAAGGCCAAATACTAATAAAGAAAATATTGCATTTTTTTAGACACGAAAGATGGTATTATGCCTCAAAAACGTTGGTAGCTTGAGTCAATCTTCAAAATTGGATAAGGGCTTTTGTCCATTGTTTTGTAGAAATAGAGATACCATATGACTCAGCACCATATTGAGATTGTCTAGAAAATACGTAATGGCTATGAGATGACACCCAAGATAACAACCGATTTTCTCAATTCACTGTGTATTCATTGTGTTGTTTTGCGTGCTTTTTTGTTTAAGGGAAATCAAAATATCTTTGCTTTGCCACTTTGCTTGGAAATCTTTGCCACAAACAGTACTTTAAATTCAAACATGCCTTGATATTATATTTATTTACGTACACTTATCTTCTTATTTCCACTCATTAGTAAAACTGAGTTACATTTTATTAGTCGATTATGAATGAAGATGTCGTTCACGCAAATATTAACTTAAACCTTCTAGGTTTGTCATAAATACTTACGATATCTCGTGCTCACAAGCAGAAAGCATCGCAAAACGCTATCACCGAGAAGTACGTGCACCCAGCGCACGATATATGTGGCAATATGTGTTCTCGATGAATTGTATTGAAAAAACTTATGTGTGACAGTCATTGACAGATCCAATAAAACGTGTATCTACTATCTATGCGAAGCTACACGCGGCTATTTTATGAGTTGCTTAAACGTGTAAACTTATATATCTGCTATAAACTACAGATCTTTTTGTATAATTAGTACGCTGGGTAATGATCTCATAATATACAACTGTTTCAGTGGACCTTCGTCGAACCCATGGAAAAGCTTCATCGCACCCCAGCGATTCGATCGAACCCAAGTTAAGAAACACTGTTTATACGCAAAAACCCCTGCACTAAACAGAAGGCGTCATTCTATAATTATTTATATTAGAATGTATCAAATTTCATATGGACTACGCGATGATCTTAGATTAATTAAATTCAACTGAATGTGACTTATGAGTTGAAATTGATCAAGCTGGATCAGCCGTAAACGTGAATAACGTTACTGTAATAGTTGTACATGGCGACTTTCGCATAGCACACGTTAGCAAAATCAAAGCGGAAGCCGTCAACATCAAGAAAAGAATACTGCCAAGAACATAATAAAAAATGAATAATCTTCTTCCAATCTCTTAAGTTGTATGTTGGTTAAAACTGTTCTAATGTTTTCCACCTTATTGTCTGATCTATTGCTAAACCTTCGCGATTCCATGCTAGATTTTGAGTTTCGAGCAATGAGATAACGTAAATCAGGGCTTCCCAACTCATCATCTTTAAATAAATTCAAGTTGAATTGAATTGAACAGAAGTCTCAGTGAGAACTTTTTGAATGCTCGTTATTCACAAGCGTCAAGATCCAATTTAACACTAATCCAAGTACTAATCTAACAGGTGCTCTTCCGATTATTTCAGTTTTTCCAACAACATATGAGAAGTGCAAAAACTTTTATTAATGAAATAAATGTACTTATTAATATAATTAGCACTTTATCTGTACCGTAAAATCGCACTGTGGGAACCCTTGACGTAAATAAAAGACGTTCATTTCGGGAAAAAAACTATTTCTTTGGAAATCATTTATCGTATTGCATCCTAACCAAATTCATTCCTCATTTTATTTTATTATTTTGAGGTATTATAGTCGCTTTTTGATAGTATTAGCAGCATCATTACTAAGTTTGAGTTGGGTTGCGCGAGACTAACTTCCTATCTTTTCTCTATGCCTTTATGCTAGTGGATCCGTATGCGTATACTGCAAGGATACTGTAGCTGGAATAAACATGACTATTCTATTCAATTAAAGAGTCCAGCTGCACACTATCACAAATGTATTTCTGTACCGTTTCGTCCGACCAGAGTCAGACTTCCTCAGACAACAGTTTACAACAATGGCAAGAAATAAATTTGGTAAATGAATTTGAAACATCAAATCAATTATGACGTAATGCATAAACATTTAATTTGCATTTAGCCGTAGAAGTAATGATGGGAAAATTAGAACCACAAATATCAGTGGAGCTCATTTCAGATGTTCGTGATTCTCTAAGTGCCCATAATTTTAATTACATTTAGTTACCCATCATTTTCGTAAATGCAATAATAAAACTTTTTTTTTTAATTACATCTGAAATGAGCTCCACTGATATTTGTACGAAACGTTACAGAAATACATTTGTGTTAGTGTGCAGCTGGACTCTTTAATCATTACTAAGGTCGTATTAATAGCTCAGTGTTGTTAGATATTTACAAATGACGTTTTTTTTTCGTTAGCCAATGTTATGATACCCTACTCTCATAATCATTTGAACTCCCTACTCCATTGCCAGTTTAAAACCTTACAAGATTGTGATACAATACATACTGTTATTGGGTAAACTAATGCTGTTATCAAAAGTAGGAGTATGAGATTATCAATGAGGTATTTCTATTGGTGCAAAAATAAGTCAGAATAATATATGTAATAACTAATGTCAACAACTCCAAGACCAAAATAAATTCCATACTGCCACGCCTTCTAATTTGTCATTCCACGAAGTTGCCGCAGCCTCTTGGGCTCATTAATTGCAGCTTTTTTATAAACAGACCACGTAGGAGAAGAGCCACGCGTCACACATAAACTGTTAAACCGAGGAATTTTAGATTCATTTTTATTTGTATGAAACTGGTCATGCATTTAAATAGCAAAACGTGTATAGGCATAGATAGAGCACATTCTCAAGCCAGATTCATCATCACCTACACTTGTATACAAAGCAATCATCTACATTGTTCTAAATAGCATTTTTCATTTAAACACAAAATATCAGAAAGTATATTGAATATAAATATTAAGTTTTGTGAATAATTCCGAGCAAGACGAAAAAACAAAAATACCCACATTTATTTCACATTTTACTCTGGTTGTTAGCAGTCAATTCATTACCACTGAACTGGGCAATTATTGCTATTTATACTTTATTGCATAATAGATATTGATTGGTGTATTAGTATAGACAATAGAAATGTTTATATAAAATTTTGCGACTGTTTTTCTCAGATATTCTTTCGCGTGTGATTCTATGATTGTTCATTAGGTAATCTAGCCAACTTATTAATTGCTTCGAAATCATGTTTTCGCTGTCAGTCACATTGTATACAATGTCAATACTCTCTTTACCATCGTGTTATATTCTTTTCCCATAGTTAATTAAGTTACTAAGATTCTCTCATATACTAGTAATAAGAGCGACGTTGGCCCAATTCTCTTTCTTTAACTTCATCTCGCGGTATTGCAACACCACGTCGAACAAAAAAAAGTTGATCAGTGATTTTATAATGTTGACATTTTATAGAACAGCATTGAGAGCACGAACGTCTAAATCTAACCAATCAAACCAGTTAGAGTTTGCATTTGACTTCCATGTTCTTGTCGCGAATGTCTCACGTTGATTAATATTGATAAATGTCAATTTCTCAAAATAAAAAGAACTTATTCAGAACATCCGATTTGACAAGAAAAAAAAATATGCAAAATTGAACCATATTATTCTGTAACTTCTTTCCGGTATATGCTGATAAATTTGGACGCTTCTTCATTTTCATGTAGAAGTGCTTCGTGTCCTTTATCAGCCATTTTGTTAATTTGATATCTGTCCATCGTTTCTGTGCCTCCACCAGAAGTTTGGCTTTCTGTGACCACAGAGAGTCGTTATTCCTACTTTCAACCATGAACAGCCGTTGTTCATGGCAACACATATAAAGATGAAAATCGGTAGAAAGGTTTGATTGGGATTGGGAACAAGTTACATTTATTGATAAAGGACTAACAGTAGTCTCAGTGAGAACTTTGTAACTAACATCAAGATCCAATTTTAATCCAAGCACTAATCTAACATTTTCTCTTCCATTCATTTCAGTTTATCCAACAACACACGAGAAGAGCAACAACTTGTTAATATTAACAACTTATTCAATATAATTAGCACTTTATCTGTTGACCCCCTGAGTTCCCGCTGTGGACCCCTGTGGGTCCACTTGGACAACGTTGAGAAGCCGTGAGGTAAATGAACCGTCATATCGGGATCAAACTGTTTCGTTGGAAATCATTTATCATATCGCGTCCTAACCTAATTAATTACTATAGTCGCTTTTAAATGGTATTGGAAGCATCATTACTAAGGTCGTGTTAATAGCACAGTGTTGTTGGATAATTACAAATTTCGGTGCTCCCGAAGTATGCGAACCAAGATGGCGGACATCGGAACGTAACATGGGTAACAGGTTAGGGTTAGGCGATAATTTTTTTCCAATTTTCCTTATTTTAGTCCTATTATCAGTTCGAAGACTAGCCAAAAGCCTCCCGTAGTATTTATACCTAAAATTATGGCCTAACCCTAACCTTGTACACATATTACATTCCGATGTCCGCCATCTTGGTTCGCATACTTCGGGAGCCCACAAATTTCCCTAGCCAATGTTATGATACCATACTCTCATAATCATTAGAACTCCCTACTCCATTACCAGTGTAAAACCTTACAAGATTGTGATACAATACATACGGTTATGGAGCAAACCAATGCTGTTATCAAAAGTAAGAGTATAAGATAATCAATAAGATATTTCTTTTGGAAGAAAAATAAGTCAGAATATATATGTAATAACTGAAGTCCAAATCTCCAAGATCAATCTAAATTCCGTACTGGCACGCCTTCTAATTTGCCAATCCCTGAAATTGCAGCAGTCTTTTGGCCTCAATAATTGTAGCGTATTTATAAACAGACCCCGTAATAGAAGAACCACGCATCACACATAAACTGTTGAACCGAGCAATTTTCGATTCATTTTTATTTGTATAAAACTGCTAATGCATTTGAATAGCAAAACGTGTATATTCAAACATATAGCACATTCTGAAGTTAGATTCGCCATCACCTACACTTGTATACAAAGCAATCATCTACATTGTTCTGAATAGCATTTTTCATTTAAACACAAAATATTAGAAAGTATATTGAATATAAATATTAAGTTTTGTGAATAATTCCGAGCAAGGACGAAAAAACAAAATTACCACATTCAGCTACTTAAGCTTTGGCGCTGGTCTAACTTTTTTTTACACTTTACTCTGGTTATTAGCAGTCTATTCATTAACACTGAACTGTACGTAATAGAACAAGTGAAACGTGTTTTCATGTATATAATTATATATATGTCAATTTTTGCGTATTCTGCTCTTCTCAGATATTCTTTCGTGAGTTTGACTTTTTCATTCATACGGTTTTCACTGGCCCAATCAGTGGCTTTCTCATAAGACTCGACGGCCACCCTGTAATGTTCAATTGCTTCACCAAATTGATTGTTTTCGCTGTAAGCAAGTGCAGCATTGTGATGACAATGTCCGAATACTCGACGTTTGACGGCGTCGTTGTTATATTCCTTTTCCATAAGTTGAGTGACGGATAAGTTGACCGTCACAGATTTCTCTCGAATATCACAGTAGTAATAGCAGAGAGCGACGTTATATAAACACCAGACTTTGTTAATGAATTTCACTTTTGACTCTTCATCTGCAACGCATGGTACCAACTCAGACATCTCCAGCAGGAGGGGTAGAACACAACAGTTAATGACTTTTTTCATCATGTTGTCCTCTTTGGTGATTTTCTTAATAATTGATGTTATTTTTTCTACAGTCTCCTTTATTCCCAGAACAGAGAAATTTCGTTTTGTACTGATGTGATGCAGTTTTGCAGCAACATAAAAACAGATGATAGAAAGAATATTCAACTGTTTTTCCGCTAATATACTCCCCATGTTCATTACATCTTTTACTTTACCAACAAATTGTCGCAAAAAATCATCTTCTATTACAAGTTCTTCTAAACTTTGCCTCTTCAGATGTTTGCATATTGAAGCCAGAGCATTTCTCACTCTGTCTCCACCTTCCATGTTCTTGTCGCGAATGTCTATCATTATCTCATTGTAGAGTGTCTCCCATGTTTTACTAACTACTGATAAAACGTTGGCCCAATCGTCTTTATTTTCTTCCGGTATTGCAACCACTGTCGAATAAAAAGTTGAAGATATATGTTGACATTTTATAACAAGCATAAAGCACGAAGTCTAAATCTAACCAATCAAAAAGTAGAGTTTTGGCATATAGCGCGTTGATTAATATTGATAAATGTCAATTTCTCAAAAAAAGAACTTATTCAGAACCTCCGATTTGACAAGAAAAAAAAATATACAAAATTGAAGCATATTATTCTGTACCTTCTTTCCGGTATATGCTGATAAATTTGGACGCTTCTTCATTTTCATGTAAAAGTGCTTCGTGTCCTTTATCAGCCATTTCGTTGAGTTGATATCTGTCCATCGTTTCTGTGCCTCCACCAGAAGTTTGGCTTTCTATGACCATGGAGAGTCGTTATTCCTACTTTCAACCATGAACAGCCGTTGTTCATGGCAACAAATTATAAGGATAAAAGTCGGTAGATAGGTTTGATTGGGAAATTCAATTCACTTGAGTATTACAAATACATTCTTTTGAGGATATTTCCGTCTTATTGATATATTTATAGTACAATAACTTACCCAGTTGAGTAGCTATGCCGCGAGCAGGTGGAGATCTGGAATATCAAGTACAAGAATCGTTACATAACCGACCTTGAATTACGCATCAATGTTACATCATATATGTTATAACTTTTGGGAAATCTGCATATAAGCTGATCAGTAGAGTATTGAATATGCTTTTTTTGCGTTGAAACAATACTTTTTTAATTCAAACTTTTTATACATCTGGTATTGTCCTAATCGAAATCCAGAATTCAAAATTAAAACGGCGAAGCTTTGGTGGGAAATACTAGGCAACTAGTAGAGTTTACAAACACCCGCATGAAATGCCTGTAATTTGAGTAATAAAAATAATAATATTTTAGGAGTGTTGAATCACTTACACGTGATTATGTATTATATCTCCATGATGATGATGGTATTCATTATTTATTGCACCAATGTGGAAAACATTGTTAATAACTCGTGGCTCTGCTGCCAGCCGCAGTTCTTCAGGTGGATTTGCTTCTGCCATGTCAGTATTGGAAGCTTCATGAGTATTGGAAGTCAGTATTGGAAGTCTTCATCATCTTAATTTATGTGTAAAGATAAAAATATACAGTAAGAAAGAAGATTAAATTCGGAATTAATGCAGCTCTACTCGAAGCCCTCACTCGAGCCAATAGTGACAAATATATTATACATATTTAAATGGCTATGAATCCCAGGAAGACAAATGCGGCAATGGAGACTATATTGAAAAAAATTATGATATTCATTACATTCTTGTAAATATACGTCAACATGAAAACTAAAATAACGATACAAGATCTTTCTATTGTAAAGCAATGCTGATTGATATTCCACAATGTATGTTTCTGTACAAAAATTCATTTAACAGTATTGAATGACCTCAAAACAACTTTACCATAATTAGCTACTCAATTTCAGTCCTAACAACAAGAAGTTAGCAAAACAATTCATAGCATATAATCACAGCATATAATTCAATAAGTGCAATCCTTCAAAAAAAAAAAAACTACAAAACTTGAACAACTGTAAAACTAAAACGAATTAACGATACAGTTTCATTTTGATAGAGTGAACTTCATCCATAGGTTGGTTATTTGTCCTATACAAAATTGATATTAAATTATTGACAAAGCTTCCTGTGCCGTGATTCTGTAAAAAGTGCAAAATTAACGGAATCGTCGCGCTCATAATGACATTTGATCTTATCTTCCACAATGCAATTTACTGAAGGACGCAAGTATTCAAATACAAGTTATATATATTTTTTATTTACGGTGGATCTATTGAGTTAAAATTGTGTAACTAGCACTTCACGTTCGATAGGTTGGTACATTCATTTATCTACTCGTGTTTCAACTTGTCTAAGGACAATAAATACCGTATATACAAAAAGCAAAACAAAATAAACCATCTTGTTGGATGAGTAACATTTAGGCTATGAAGTCCTTGTTGTATCTAAGCTTTTACTGGTAATATAATTAATTAAGAGACGAAGAACGTACGATATAGCGTAATATTAAATGAGATTAACTGAGATAAATCACATTTATAGAAACGCACAGTTAAATATATTATAATATCTAGTGCCTACTCCCGTCGCATATTTCATCTCTTGATATTTAGGCTGATAATCCCGCTTGTTTAATTATTGTTGTAACCTGTGGGTTGGCCATAGATAACGATAATTTAAACATTTTATCTATTACACTCTAAATTGATTAAATCGGTAAATCTGAATTTACATAAAAACTATCTACAATTATTGAACTCATTAGAGGTGATATCGCGCGTTAATAGACACATTTGTAAAAACTAAACCTATTAATGAGATAACAACATTGTTATGGGAATATGCAACAATTAGTGCGATAAAAAGTGGAAGTTAATCACAGCAATACACTTAAATAGGCCGAAGTAACAACAGAGACGATCACAGTTTCATTCTAAGACTAAAACGTACATCACCTTATGAACCTGACCAATGCGCACTTATTCAGGCACAAATACGGTTCAATGTTTAACGTCGCTCCTACTATTCGGGTATATTTTGGGCACCCAGAGATTTTTTGTCCAGTAAACGACACAAAATTTCTTTTATGTCCGACAGATAACAGCAGAACAGTCGGGAAAATACGACCAACAGCGTTTGCGAAGAAGAAAAAAAGCGAACCAGGTTACGATTGATGCAATTCTCGGCAACGAAAGTGAAGATGAGAAACATAATCAATCAAAAAGAAGGTCAAACGGGACATCTGTCAACAATCCTGATACCTCGGTCGATTCTGGAATTCTATCCAACTTTGATTCAGAGTCGTCATACTCCAGCAGCATCAGTGTTTATGAACCGCATAAATCTTTTGATTCAACTTCAGATCGATATCATTCCGTCTGTCATCTCTCAGAACGACAGAATGATTGGATGGTGTTTCACTACGATTCCCCCAATTTTAACAATATGACCACAATGAAGTATAGCGAATTATTGCATTCAACTCCAGTGCCAATGACCCAATATGAACAGTTTTACCCGGACATTAACGAGTCATTTACGCTTTCTCCTATTGCTCAAGACTCAAAATCTAGCATCGGGAATAGATCAAACACTAAGGTGGAAAGAATCAGAACGGTTTTCACCAACATACAACTTGAAAGATTAGAGAAAGAATTTCCACAACAACGTTATTTGGTTGGTGAAGATAGAACAGCACTGGCAAATGAATTGAAACTCGGGAAAGCTCAAATCAAGATTTGGTTTCAAAACAGAAGAACAAAATTTAAAAAGCAGATGTGTAAGGAGTCACCTGTTATTGTCGATGACAATTGAAAAATTTTCTCCATTTTTAAATTTTGCACTTTGAACAAGTTCCAATGATTTTTTAAAACTATTATATCTTTTTTTTATTTTTAATAAAGCAAGTGAGTTCTAACAATTATTTTTATTTGATCGTTACGAAATTTGGAAGCACCGTCATGTGGGAAACCCATGTGAATATACGCTTGAGTAAGGCCCTGGGCAAAATATTGGAAATTGGGAATATATCATAATTGAACTGTTGGGCTGGGTGGTTGACGGAAGATACTGCGCAGTGCGCGTGCCTTCGATTTCAGTTGAGAACAATTATGGGTGATATAGTGCAGAATCAAGTACAGACTGGTATAGTAAAAAGACAGGCCCCGGCATGCGATAAGTTAACTCTTGTTATCGGCTTTTCTCTTACCTGATATGGACATGAAATATCTCATCCTGGACATGGCTGTAATTGGCTTTAAGATCAATACTGTTTTACTGCTCATTCTTTCAGTTGGTCATGTATAACTAACTGATGTAGATCAATAGCCGCATGATCAATTGGAAATTAATTTATTGATTCAAATAGTGTTGGTAGAAAACTGATGTAATAGGTGTTTCTGAGACCAAACCAGGAGAAGCCTCACCTGCTGTATCCATAGCTGGATATGACCTCATACGCAAAGACTCCTGTACCACAGCAGGAGGGGTCGGTCTGTATATATTTGAATGTATCACATTTCATATAAGCTACGCGATGATCTTGTTTAATTCAAATTTGATAGGAAAACTTACGGATTAATATTGATCAAGCTGGATCAACCCAAAACGCGAACAGTTGTACCCATCGTATAAATTTATTATTTTTTATTGCATATATTTGATGATTTTAACGGGAGGGGTTAGATGTGGGGAGTTCAGGTAAGATTGGCGGGAGAAATTATACGTAGAAATCTCAGGTAGGGTTAGGCATGTTGAAATCATGTAGGAGTGTGGGTTTAGCGGGGGACAATTACGTGCGAGAGGGTAGCTGGACTCATCGCCGGCGCAGGGTGGTTTTCGTAACCGCTGGTCGGTTATGTCTTCCTTCACCTTCAAATCCATGCATCTGAAATTATAACTGACCAATTAACCACATTAACACATGGTAGCCGAACGCGAGGCTGCGGTACGGTATATGATTAGGTCGTAATCAATGTTAATCAATGTCTGCGTGAACAGAAGCTCAACCTTCTTCAGCAAGTGCCCTTATAATCCATGGTTGATATTGTGTAGTTTTGAGCTACACGTGCAGCGGAATTACATGCAAGTCACGTACACATCTCAGTATGTTCCGCCAACCGCCAAGTCCAATTGAATTCTGATGAATGCTCAATACTCGTTATTTTCAGCCATGGCCTTACTCCAGCGTATTTTTCGTTGGTTCTCGATAGGGCAATATTTTTGGAGGTTCCAATGATTGAAAAATTGGTCATAACTCAATTGTTTTTAATTTGCTTTATTATAAAAAAGAAAAGAAATTAAAACATGAAAATCATTGGAACTTGTTCAAAGTGCAGAAATTTAAAAATGAAGAAAAAATTTCAGTTATCATCGACAATAACAGGTGATTCCTTACACATCTGCTTCCTAAATTTTATTCTTCTGTTCTGAAACCAAACCTTGATTTGAGCTTCCCCTAGTTTCAATACTTTTGCCAGTGCTGTTCTATCTTCACCAACTAAATAACGTTGTTGTGAAAATTCTTTTTCTAATCTTTCAAGTTGTTTGTTGGTGAAAACCGTTCTGCTTCTTTTTACTTTAGTCTCTGATGTATTCCGGATCCTTTGAGATTTCATGTTATATTTTGAGTCTGACCAATAGGAGAAAGCGTAAACGACCCGTTCATGTCTGGATGAAACTGTTTATATTGGGCCATGGGCTCTGGAGTTGAATGCAATAATCCACTATGTATTCTTGAAATCATATTGTCAATATTGGGAGAATCGTAATGGGCGACCTTCCAATCATTCTGTTGTTTTTGGAGATAACTGACAGCTTGGTATCGACCTGAAGTTGAATCGAAAGATTTATGCGGTTCATAAACATTGAAACTGCTGGAGTTTGACGACTCTGAATCAAAGTTGGATATAACTCCTGAATCAACGGATGTATCAGGATTGTTGACAGACGACTCGTTGGACTTTCTTCTTCTTTTTGATGGATTATGTTTCTCATCTTCACTTTCGTTGCCGAGGATTGCATCAATCGTAAACCTGGTTCGCTTTTTATTCTTATTTACGATCGCTGTTGGTATTATTTCCCCGACTCTTCTGTTGTAATCTGGTGGACATAAAAAGAATCCAGTGTCGTTTACTGGACAAAGATACTCTGGATGCCCAAAATATCCCCGAAATGAATGAGCGACGTTGAACATAGTACAGTATTGTCGCTTGAACAAATGCGTATTAGTCAGATTCATAATGTACCGTGCGTTATACTCTTAAAAAGAAAATATGTTCTTCTCCGTTGTTACGTCGGCCTATTTAAGTGTATCGCTGCGATAACTTGCACTTTTTATCGCACAAATTAATGCATATTCCGATAACATTGTTGTTATCTCATTAGTAGGTTTAGTTTTCACAATAGCGTCTATTAACGCTCGATATCACTTCTAATGAGTTCAAATATCGTAGATAGACGTTTATGTGAATTCAGATGTTCCGAATAATCAGGTTAAAGTGTAATTGATAAAATGTTTAAATTATTGTTATCAATGTAATCAGGAGGATATGATATATAAAGTAATATTATAGGTTTGTAGATATTATAATATAATTGACCGCGCGTTCCAATAATACTGATCATTTCATCATCACTAACATGCTATTTTGAAACTTTCATTGCATATTGAACATATCCTATATTTTCCAGTTCACGTGACTTACAGAAAAACTACATAAATTGATCGCACGTAACAAAATGAATAGATATAATTGCAATTAATTAGATAGGAGTTTCCTTTACAAGTGATGAGGAAGACTCATAGAAAATTGAGTGAAAATATCCATCTCATTTAATATTACGCTATAGTGTATGTATTTTGTCTCCCTAGTGTATTACCTATCAAACTTGAGATACAATAAGGAATATGAGTTGAATGTCACGCACCAACCAGAATACTTTATTTATCTTGTTTTGTATATATTTATTGTTCTTAGACAGGTTGAAACATGAATAGATAAATAAATATACCAACCTCTCGAACGTGAAGAGCTAGTTACACAAATTTAACTCAAGAGTTCCACTGTGAAATAAAAATATATATACAACTTGTGTCGTCGAGGATATCAAACATCTCCCACAGGTGGGAAGTGGGGAATTACTTTTAAAATAAACATTATTTCATTAAAAGAACAGTATAGATTAAATAATATAATAAACTCAACAATTCCGTTAATTTTGCTTTTTTTATATAGAATATCGGAAGATGAAGTCAATAATTTACTTTCAATTTTGTATAGGTCAGGTAACCAACCTAAGAAATTAGTTCACTCCATCAACATGAAAGTGTACTGTTGAGTCAACTCTTTCTTGTTAATACTGAAATTGAGTAGTTGATTATGAAAAAGTTCATTCAAGGTTATTACCTACTAATTTTGTATATAAACATACATTGTGGAATATTAGCTCTGCTTCATTTATAATAATATTTTATAAATTTCCCGAGGTAGTCGAATATAGCAATAACAAGTTCTTACAATGTAATTTTAGTAAACATGTTCATGTTGATTTTGAATAATGTAAAAGATATTCCTGATATTTTCCTAATATAGTATTCATTGCCGTAGATACATTTATTTATGTACATTTGTCACTATTGACTTGAGAGAGAGGTTAGAAACAAGTTGCATAGACTTCGGATTTATATCCGTTATTAAATAGTTTTCTCCATGTACATTAAATTTAGATGAATGCACTTTTATAAGATATTAAGAAAACTTTTAACGAACGACCCGTAGCGCATCAAGCTTCCAATACAACATGGCGGAAGCGAATCCAACCGAAGACTTGCGACTGACAGAAGAGCCACGAGTTATTAACAATGTTTACAACATTGGTACTATACATAATCAATACCACCATCATCATGGAGATTTAATACATAATCACATGTAAGTGAACCACCACTCTTTAAATATCATCATTATTTTTATTATTCCAATTACAACCATTTCGTGTAGGTGCGTGTAAACTCCGACCGAAGAATTATTCTGGATATTATAGCGAACAGGGCAAGCCGAGTTCGATGAATAGATTGAAGAATAGTATTGCTTCAGTGCAAAAAACTTATTAAATGCGCCAATGGCATGCTTATATGCAGACTTCTTGAAAAAATTTAAATATAATTGACGTAAAGTTGATGCATAATTTCAGTTCGGATATGTAACGATTCTTGTTATTTGATATTCTAGAAATCAACCTGGCTGCGGAACAGCTACTCAACTGGGTAAGTTGCTATGTTATGAATATTTATCAATAAGAAGAAAAACGTTATTGTCATGTTTGGGTGAATTGATTTTTTTTTCTATCAAACTCTTTATATATACCAAATTATATTCTTTTATTCGTTGCCATGGACAATTGCTGTTCATTGTAGATTTTTGTAGAATTAACGACTTGCTATGGTCACAGAAAGCCAAACTTTTGGGAAAGGCACAGAAGCGCCAGACAAGTCTCAACTCAACAAAATGGCTGATGAAGGACACGAAGCTCTTTTGCATGAAAATGAAGAAGCGTCCAAATTCATCAACTTATACCGGAAAGAAGGTATCCTACAGAGTAATATGCTTGAATTTAGTATTGGTTAGAATCACTACATAGTACACCCCACCTATTCAAAACACATTTTTATTCGTCTAAAACACAATGATACACATGTTTAAACCGACGCAATAAGTTCTTATTTACTTAATTTAAACGCTGCATTCACTTATCTTCTTTAACAGTTAAATTGTTGGCCAGTAAAATTGACCCTCTCTCAAATATCATAATAAAAATTCACTAAACGTCGCATAAAAATTTTGGGGATTTTTTGCGCCAATTTGTAGGTTCTGACAAAGTTCTTTTTACTTGAGAAATTGGCATTTATCAATAATGATTAAAATGCTATATAGACCAAATTCTCCTTCTTCAGAAGCGCGGCGCGTTCTTATTATTTTGTCAGGCATACCAAATGGAAAAGAGTAGACGATGTTGGAGAAGTTCCCAAAATAAGAATTATCAATTTTATATGTTAGAGTTTTTTTACCATATCGTTGTAAATTTTATTATACACAATCAGGGCGTTACACAAAAAGATTATTAAAGTGTCGGCCCAACTCTACCTTTTCTGAGATAGACCAGTGGATAGTGAAAGGCAGTTATGTACACACAGACTGACAAATACAACATCGTAATAACTCATCGATTTTTGTTATACAACACAGATTTGAAAGATAAAAAGATACAAAATGTAAAGTAGGTCAATGCATGTGACTGCATCCAGTCTTTTCGTGATCTTTCGTGAATGAGATTGCAGAGATTTTGCTACTGATTGCTGAATTGCGCAAATGTCGCAGTTTTTGTTTTTAGAATTTGACAAGCCAGTGCTTGTGTGTGGATATAAATTGCGTTGGATTTGTTCGCATTGACTGGTTGGTGTGAAGTACAATGATAGGCGTATGAGCCAGAGGTCCTTTCACTTGAAAGTGAGGTTAACCAACGCGTTACGGGTCTCTATAAAACTCAATATATCGAAATCTCACAAATATAATTCGCGGATGATTTGGTAAAGCACTGTCACGTACATTCTCTTGTGATATTAACATTGAAGATCTTACGCACATTCGTCGTTGAACAAATATCATTGCCTGACCACTCGACAGTATTACTTGCCGCTGGCAGATAATCTGAAGTGAATTAAAATCAACAGAAGGAAATGTTAAAAAATCTCAGTCTAATGAGATTTTCTCATTTTGATTGCTGCCCAATATCGTCCACTGTCATTTGATGTATATGGCTGTAATGACCGATCGCGATTGATAGAAAGAAAGAATTTTGCCTCGTTTGTTAGCGAGCCTTATAGTATGTCCAAGAAAATTGATCAATGACAAATTCTCGAGAAAATAGGAAAAAAAGAACTTAATGCGAACCAATTATTTGGCGCGAAAGAAAACTCAAAAATGTCTTTCGATTTTTTCAGGGCTAAATGATGGTTTATTAACTTTTAACGATGGAACCCTTGAAACCCAAACCGCCAACCTTTTTTTTCGAACGGCCAGAATATAGAGCGCTAAAGTTGAAAAAAATTATACAAGTTTAAAACATATTTTAATGTGACCATGGATTTATTGAAACCTAATCAAATAAAGCCCTCATTTTCTTATATTCGAAAACGGCATTTGCACCAACGTTGCATGGTACGAGCGTAACATTCCACTGCACCCCAGAAGCTTGCGGGGCCGTGATACCAGAATCATAGACTATTATTAGACCGTAAAATATAAGATAACTAACTTTTTTATTCAATAGTGGTTGCACTGCCAGAAGGAATTAAAGACGACTGGGCCAACGTTTATACCAGTAGTACGTAAAACATGGGAGACACTCTATAATAAGATAATGGTAGACGTTCGCGATAAAAACATGGAAGGTGGAGACAGAGTGAGAAATGCTCTGGCTTCAATATGCAAACATCTGAAAACGCAAAGTCTAGAAGAACTTGTAATAGAAGATGATTTTTTGCGACAATTTGTTGGTCGAATAAAAGATGTAATGAACATGGGAAGTATATTAGCGGATAAACGTCTGGATATTCTTTCTATCATCTGTTTTTATGTTGCTGCGAAACTCCATCGTATCAGTGCAAAGCGCAATTTCTCTGTTCTGGGAATAAAGGAGACGGTTGAGAAAATAACATCAATTATTAAAAGAATCACCAAAGATGACAAAATGATGAAAAATGTCATTCACTGTTGTGTTCTACCTCTCCTGCTAGAGATGGCTGAATTGGTACCATGCGTTGTAGATGCAGAGCCCAGAGTGAAATTCATAAGCGAAGTCTGGTGTTTGTATAACGTCGCACTCTCCTATTACTACTGTGGAGTTCGAGAGAAATCTGTTACCGTCAACTTATCCGTCATTGAACTCATGGAAAGGGAATATAGCAGTGGTGCCCTCAAGCGACGAGTATTCGGTCATTGTCACCACAATGCTGCACTTGCCTACAGCGAAAACAATAAATTTGCCGAGGCAATTAAACATTACGGGTTGGCTGTTGAGTCTTATGAGAAAGCCACAGATTGGGCCAGCGAAAATCATAGGAATGAAAAAATTAAACGCACGAAAGAATATCTGAGAAGATCAGAAGTACGCAAAAATTAACATATATGAATGTACGTTTCTGCTGTTTACATATTACATAATTACCAGCATTGCAACTCAATATCTCAATGAGTACTTAAATGAATACTATTCAAAAATATGATTCATTAATTGTCTAGCTCAGGGGTCACCAAACTTTTTTGACCGCGGGCCGGGTATGACTCAAATTGTGTTGAAACGGGCCGGATGAATATTTTTGTCAATGCAATACAATAAATTCACAAAAGTTGGGAATATCGCAGAACATAGATCGAGAACAACCTAGGAAAAAAAATTAACAAGATTTCTATATCTAGACAACTATCCTGAGGGTAGCTGTTATCAAAACGTTGCTGTCATGAATTAGAAATGTTACAAAATCCGCGGCAAAAAATGTACGCATCACGTCTACCGTTACGCCGTGTTGAAAAACCGCTCATAAAGACGACTGCCTGCTGTAGCTTGGAATTCTATGAAATTTTGACATAATTTAGATAAAATAAACAACTATTATCTGGTATTTGAATTTTTTCAATAGCGCATAAATTTCCCAACATTCGACGCTTTTAAAAATTACGCTCCAGTTATACGTAGTGCAAATAATGATATTGTCTACGGACACCAATACAATTTATATGGACGTGTGTATTTCTTGTCTAACTTGATACTTACCAATTTTTATGAAGTTCGTACAATCAGAACATCGTTAATTATTACCCACAATGAACCACTGTCAAACTATCATGCACAACTCCAGCGTTTATTTGCGACGATCTTTCGGCGGTGTCAATGACCGTTGCCAGAATAAAATCCTGAAATAGTCTCAATATACCATAGATGTGACGCACATCGAAAGATTAGTGATTGATATGTGTTATTTTTCCATATTTAGTTCAGTTCTTATCAAAAAAGTAATAGGATCATTATGGAAAAAATTGGCTGTCGGGCGGTACTAAAATTCCGATATCTCCGTTATTTCTTGACCGTTTATTCCAAACTTGGTATTGTTTTCTATTTTTACTCAGATCTTTCCACTGGAGCAGTTTTTATTTAAATCGGATGAACTTCAATTTTTTTGTAACATACCTACATGAATATCCGCATTAAAGCGGTACAAAAGTTAGTGTGGCTTTTGACGCGAGCAGTACGCGAGGGATTACAGTACTGTTAGCACAAAATGCACATTCGACGTTTATTTTAGCACGAAAAACAAACAGTCGTCGAAAGCAAGCGCCACGAGTGTACAAGTGTATCGCAGAAAACGTTACGTACTGGTAGCATTCAAAGTCGCAAAAACGAAGTTTTGTTTACAACCACGACTGAAAATCTGTCAGAGTGACAAAAGTGTCTGAGCGGATGCGGAAAGGCCTATTATTACGTCACTTTTCTGCATCTTGCCGATTGGCCAATGTTACAAAATAAACAAGGACGACGATGCTCGTGAAAATCTTCCTTGGAAAAAATTTAGCCATTTTTGCGTGTTATTGCGGACCGGATAAAATGACGCCGCGGGCCGGATAAAATGACGTCGCGGGCCGGATCCGGCCCGCGGGCCGTAGTTTGGTGACCCCTGGTCTAGCTCATTGTTTCAAAGGTGTTATCTCCACATTCAATCAGTGAATAGACCGCTCATTACTGAGCTGTGAAGTATTGACTAAAATAAGTTGAACATCGACAAAGTTTCAGGATTTGAATGCAGTTTTTTTGTTCTCTCGTTCATGCTTCATGCTTTCTAATATTTTGTGTTTAAATATATAATGCTATTTGGAACAATGTAGATGATTGCGTTGTATACATGTGTAGGTCATGATGAATCTGGCTTCAGAATGTGGTCTATCTATGCCTATACATGTACTGTATTGTCATTCAAATGCATGAGCAGTTTTGTAAAAATAAATCGAAAATTTAGCAGTTTACGGTTTATGTGTGATCCGTTTTCCTCCCGTGGTTTGTTTATAACTGCGCTAGAATTAATGAGTCTGCAATAACTTCGGGGATTGACAAATTAGAAGAGGTGCCAGTACGGATATTAGATATTTGGATTGTAATTGGAGATTTAACCTTCAATTGTTACATATATATATATTATTCTGTGTTATTTTTGCCAGAAAGAAATATCTCACTGATTAATGTATAATTCTGTCTTTGACATCAGCATTACCTTGCTCCGTCCCGGTATGTATTGTATCATAATCTTGCAAGGTTTCAAACTGGCACTGGAGTAGGGTGTTCTAGTGATTAAGAGAGCAGGGTATTAAAACAATATCTATCGAAAAAAAAAACATTTCTGTAAATTATTTCACAACATTAAGCTATTGACACTACCTCAGTAATGATATTCGCACTGACACCAAGAAAAGACTATAACAATGAAAGTAAATGGAATAAAAAGAGCGCCGCTCGAATCGATTTAATAATCAAGTTTGAACTATCAATATATACCGTTGCACCGATTAAATCGTGTGAACACAAAGCTTTGGCTCATTAAAGTAACAATCATTACCACCTTCCTGGTCATACTTGCATATTTTACTTAGAGGTGTTATCCAATTTTCGATTACAGCCATCACAAAGATTATTATTCGCGTGAATGTAATAAAGAAGACAATATACAAATCCAAGATACAAATATAGGCTACCTTATAATAAAATAGACATCGATGTGTAAACTAATTTGTCACGTCGGATTAAGCGTAATAATACCTAATAATAATGACCTCTTTTAAATACTGTAAAAAAATTGCTTCGTCGCGAGAATTGGTCACATACGTTTAAATGTAACGGTTAACTTCTATGACAAATGACTTTTTAGTGACCGCATACAGTGAGATGCAACATATCTATGGTATCAACAAGCGATTTGGTATTTATGCAACTAAAATTGATGAAGTTATAAATGTGTGTAACTTATCGAAATACAACTCATTTTATGTGATACATTAACGAAATACAGCAATTATACAGCAAATAGGTTCGTGGGAATATTTATGAAAATGAAATATAGACAAATAAATGATAATAAAAACAAAAATTGAATTTATTTTCTACGCATGAACGAAACATCAAACCCATGCGCCTCTATACCAATATGGATGTGGAAAGTCAGTCTTTGTTGTCTCGACTAGCAAGCTAAGAATGATAAGTATATATGACTACTTAAAAGTATTTTATTCTTATCCAATTCCTAAATTTTCGATTACGATCCTCGATTCTTAATTTCGATTCCTCGACATAGCTTACTGAGAAAACATACCCACCTAAACATTACCATGTGAAATAAAGAAAATACTGTCATGGCAAAAATTTATTGCAATACAAGAAGGGTAAATTTGTTCACATGTTTTCCTGTGAGTCTCGATCGCAATTTGGAATGAGTAAGCATCGCGGAGTTAATGGTCTTTCTGATGCAGCGGATGTTGCTGGGATACAGAGGTAGGTACTTTTGGACAACAACTGCGATATTTGACAACAGTAAAAAACACGGTTAAGAGATAGCATAGTTCTACCTCGCAATTAATAGAAGTTATGGGTGCAATAAGTAAGAGAAAAAAGATACGAAAATAAATTGCCTGAATGTGGTACGTGCCATTCAGCCGAGCAAACGAGCGAGTGAGTGAAAAAATGTAGCAAAGTTTGCGGCGTCTTAGCCCCTCCACAGGACTTGTCACAGAACGCTACACCTGGTTCAATCTAAATTTCGACCCTAAAAATCGATTCCAATGTATCCGAATCGATTCTAGTCGATTCCACAAAGAATCAATTCTGGTTTTGATTCCCGTAGTCGAATCCGCCACTCTACGTATAGCACGGAAAGAAACTTCTCCTCGGCCCGAACCTGATTAACATTAGCCTACTTTACAGTTGTTGTACTATAGCCTCAAGGCTTTGAGAGCTCCCATGGTTGTAAAATTATTCATACAGTCACCCCTATACCAAAACTGGGGAAATTGCATCAAAACTATTCTGTTTCGTGGGGCGAATTAGTCTCATTGTCTTCTGCGGAAAACGTTTCCAGCCACCTCGAGGGGAAGTTTGAACTTTGGTCTATCTGTTCTCCAAAATGTCAGGAGGACATGGCAATCGGTGTGGCAGTAGTTTTCTGTTCCTGGGTATTCAAAATTGGCATTTGCCCAGGACCTACGGACTACTTTCGAAGAAGCATCAACCAACGGGTTTACATTTTCTTCAATCAATTCAAAATATGTAGGAGTTCTAGCCGTATTTCAAATTCGTGAAGTTTTCCTACGATAAATATTATCATTATAGGATCCGTCAGAAACTGGAGACCCATCGATACA